CCAGCCCAACGACCCCAACGACCCGAATGGCCTCGACGGCCCCGTCAACAGGACGAACCATGCCGACACGAATGGTGATAGCTCCTACTCCTTTACTACTGCCCGAACCGGAAGTATTACGTCGCTTGACCAGCCCGCACGAAGCTCCGTTGACGGCCTTGGCCTTGCGCCTACAACGGCTGGCACTGTCTCGACGGAAAATGAAGCTCCACGATCTATTACTCCCAGTCACGGAGGAGCTAGTTCTTTGGCTGGAACCAGTCGTACCATTGGTGGTGGAATAGACGGCCGAAGAGGAGGGGATAGCACCTTTTCCAGCCCTGCTCCTTCGGTACGATCTTTGACTACGACTCTGACCACGATTCAATCTGTGGCTCCCAACGGCAATACACCGTATGTTGCGGCGCCCCCGCATAGCAACACGCAATCCATACAATTCAGCCAGCCGTTTCCCTCCACGTCCCCGGCGTCGGCAATTCCGTCGCATCTGGCACCGACCAGCAACCCAACCACGTATACTACTGCGACTGCCAATAATCTCTTGACCGACAATGCCTCTATTTTGACACTGGCCTCGTCTAGCAAGCGTCGTCGTCGCCGCTCCATGGACACCGACGCATCGGTGCGCGCACTGGCCCCCTCATCACTCTGGGGAGGGAGTCGTGAGAGTCTGCCGCTTAGTGTTCTCAGTGCCAACATTGACCAAGGGGGCATGCCGACGACGCCTGGAGTTCCGGGGAGCAATTCACGCCTGGGTCCAGAGCGAAACAGCATCTACTCATCTACGGGCGTGGCTCCAGCCATCACCAGTGAGAGGAACAGCATTCTTGCCAAGCAAGGCGACGGAGCGAGTGTTCGGAGCGGCCCCTTGAGTCTTGGACGGCCGGATAGCATTAGCGGAAGTATTGCGGGTGTAACCAGCCCGTTGGCCAGTCCGAGGGAGGAGCCGGAGCAGCAAACCCCCAAGGACGACGGTGCGGCTGCTGGACCGAAGGGAGAGTAAGCTGTGTGGTTGCTATCATGAGTAAATGAATGACTAGGCGTTGTGCGTGTTGGCCTGTGGGAAATTTGGCTTTTGGGCTGGTACACTTTGTTTTGGAGCTTGGGACTAGGAATTGGCTGGATGAATAATGGCGGATAGGAGTAGCATACGAGATACCCAGGACCACAGCTAGTCTGGGTCGGAATTGACTAGTAGTGGGCAAAGGTGCAGGCAAAGCGCATCGTAAAGAATTGATTGATATTGACGTTGAACGGCTGGCGGCGTCGGGCAGTGACGTGTGGTGACATAACTGCTGGCCTCGGTCAGCCACCCCAGAGGTGTGGCGGTGCTTGGTACTACTAGTTGAGTTGACTGAAGTCGCCCCAGCCAGCAGAGCTGTCTCGAGCTGTCCCACCCTCAATCGTCATCGCGAAGACAACCCACCAACCTCACCTCTCCATCTTATCGGCACTCAATCATCTGATGCGTCGACATGGCAATTTCGGTACGTGTCTTTTGCTTCCCTCGTGGCAGAGGCTGACCCATCTACCCAATCTCGAGACCTGCTGCCCGCTACCTGCCCAACACTGCTGCTGACACCCTCTAGTGGAAGTCCTTCGACTTCTTCGAAGTCTCCCAAGTCTCCCTCCCCGATGACGAAACTCGTAGCCTGTTCGACGCCAACGAAATATCCAGCATCTGCTCCGGATCCGACAGTCTCTTTCTTGGTGGCAGCGATGGATCCGTCAGCATCATCGGCAAGAGCTGGAAAGCAGTTAGGACATTCCAGGCCCACGATGCCGGACGAGTCACGCACATGCGCCAAGTCGAGGGGACGAGCCTGCTCATCACTGTCGCCGAGGACCTGAGCAGTGAGCCCGTTCTCAAAGCCTGGGCGCTGGATAAGCTCGTCAAAAAGACCAACATGCCAACCTGTCTGAGCACCCTGACCATAAATAACGGCCGACGGCAATTTCCGATTTCAGCTTTTGCCGCCTCCGACGACCTGTCCCAGATTGCCGTCGGTTTTGGTAACGGTGCCGTGACGGTTATTCGGGGCGATCTCATCCATGACCTTGGCACCAAGCAGCGCATAGTGTTTGAGTCTGAGGAACCAGTCACCGGTGTGCAGCTTGCGACGGATGAAAAGCTAACGACGTTGTTCATCTCCACGACTACGCGGATAGTCAAGTTGGGGTTGTCTAGGAAGGGTCAGGGGCTTCCCCCCAAGACTGTGGAGGATAGCGGCTGTGCGTGGGGATGCATGACGTTGGATAAAGAGACGGGCGATGTGGTGGTGGCGAGAGATGATGCCATCTACACATATTCATTGGATGGTCGAGGGCCGCCAAAGGCATATGAAGCTCCCAAGACCTTGATTGCCATGTATGAGAATTACGTGGCGCTCAAGTGTTTGCCGACGGGGGTCAATGGACGGGATCCGGATAGTATGCGACGGCGATTCGGGGGCGGCGGTAACGACGACTTGTTTAACGCTACAATGTTTGTTCTGCTGGAGCCGGATCTGCGAGTCATTGCGCACTCTGAAACAATCATGTCCCCTGTGAGGTTCATCTTTGATGTTTGGGGAGACTTGTATACTATGTCGGAGGAGGGCAAGGTGAGCCTGAACCGCACTGCTTGATCCTGTGTCCGTGGCTGATGTTTTGCAGATTTATCGGTATCATGAAAAGCCGTTGCAGCAGAGGTTGGAGATGCTGTACCAACGCAACATGTTTCCTCTTGCTATTGAGCTGGCACAAGGCTCCGGAATGGATAGTCAGCAGCAGAGCATCATTTATCGCAAGTTTGGTGATCATTTATATCAAAAGGCTGATTACGACGGAGCCATGATGCAGTATATTCGGGCTATCGATACCACTGAGCCATCGCAGGTTATTCGCAAAGTATGTTTTGTTTTTGCCTGCGAATGAATTGAACGTGAAAAAAAAAGACGTACACGTGCTGACCAGACAGTTTCTTGATACCCAACGAATACATAATCTCATTCAGTACCTTGAACAATTGCACGAGCACAGAAAAGCTACGGCTGACCACACAACATTGCTCCTGAATTGTTACGCAAAGTTAAAGGACATTGCCAAGCTAGAAAAATTTATCAGGTCACCAGGAGACTTGAAGTTTGACCTAGACACAGCCATTGTCATGTGTCGACAAGGGGGATACTACGAGCAGGCCGCCTATCTCGCCAAACGGCATGGGGAGACGGAGCTTGTGGCCGATATTCTGATTGAGGACTCCAAGAGCTACGGTGAAGCGCTGGGCTACATCTGGCGGCAAGACCCTGAAGTGGTAGGTTCGTGTCCGGACACACTATCAGCGTGGCGACTGACTTGTTTCGTAGGCATATCCATGTATGCAAAAGTACGCTCGGGTCCTCATCGAAAACTGCCCCAAAGAGGCGACGAAGCTCTTTATCGATTACTATACAGGGAAATACCGCCCAAGAAAGTCGACGGTTGCCATTCCTGGTGAAACATCATCGACCGGCGGCCTCACATCAGGCACGTCCAGTGCAGTGCAAAACCTTACTAATTATCTACCCTTTCCCTATATGGGCACATCCTCGGGACCAACTGCAACACCGGGCACGCCTAGTAACATTAAGCAGCCGGCAAGCAACGGCACCCTCGAACTTGGCGAAGACGACCATCCTCCGCCAAAGTACACGGTGCCGGCACCGCGAACTGCATTTTCTTCATTCATCGACCACCCAGATGAATTTATCACGTTTCTTGAAGCATGTCTCGAGGAGGGAGATTTGAAGGTCTCGGATCGAACAGATTTGTACACCACTTTGTTTGAAATGTATTTGTATAAAGCCAGCGAGAAGAAGGGCCACCATCGAGAGGAGTGGGAGGGCAAGGCGAAGAAGCTGATTGAGGGAGAGCATGTACCCATGGAAAGCTCCAACGTGCTGTTGCTGTCAGACTTGTCCAATTTCCGCGACGGCACTGTCTTGGTCAAGGAGCAGGCCGGGCTGCTTTTTGACATTTTCCGATCGTACACGTCTGCCAAGGACACGCGCGGCGCCATCAAGGCTCTGAGAAAATACGGCCCCGAAGAACCGCAATTATATCCAGCAGCCCTCGCATACCTCACATCCGACCCGAAAGTCCTCGAAGAAGCAGGGCCGGACGAACTGGCCAACGTGCTCTCCAAAATCGACAAAGATGGGCTCATGGCTCCTCTGCAGGTGGTCCAAACCCTCGTTGGCCAATCATCGGCCGGCGGTGTGGCGACAATGGGCATGATCAAACCCTACCTCCACGACACGATTACACGCGAGCGCAAAGAAATCCAAGACAATCGCAGGCAAATCGACACCTTGCGCGTGGACACGGAAAAGCGGCGAGCCGAAATTGCAGACTTGGGTTCTAAACCGGCCGTCTTCCAAGCAACGCGGTGCTCGGACTGTGGACAGGGGCTGGATTTGCCGGCTGTCCATTTTCTGTGCAAACACAGCTTCCACCAGCGGTGTCTCCGTGGTGGCGAGGGCGACGAGGTGGAGTGTCCGCAGTGCGCGGGGGGCAACGATCTCATCCGCAAGATGAGGGAGGAGCAGCGGAAGGCGGCGGAGAAGCACGACCTGTTTAAGATTGAGCTGGAGGGCAGCGAAGACAGGTTCGGGACGGTGGCACGGTGGTTTGGCAGGGGGGTGATGGACGGACAGAATAAGGACGATGATATTTGAGCAACTTTTAGCGGTCTACTTTATCAATTAACATGTCGGAATGACACAGTATTAGTCGACAAGGCTCTGTCATTTTTTGCAATAATCGATGTAAGCTCCCAGGTGACGTTGGACGGCCTGTGAAACGTCGTCTCGGCTCGGCGGTGTTGGTGAATGGGCCGGGCCGGCTGCATGTGTCCCAATCCGGCAAGTCTCACGCAAGTCAGTTCAAGAGTGGGGCCGGCGTCAACCTCACCTCACCTCACCTCTCCCGCCCTCACTGCACCGCACTTGACTTCCTCCCCCGAACAAAGACCGCCCGCGATGCCCGACGCGCCAATGTCCACCAAGCAGACGGCCGCGCGGTTCGCCAACGCGCTCCGGTCCTTCTCCGCGTCCGGGGACGCCTTCCGCGTGCTGTCCACGGTGCCCCCTCGCACGGAAACACCGCCGCCGCCGCCGGACAGCCTCATCGTCCTCGACTCGAGCTTCAACCCGCCTACCCGGGCGCACGCGGCCATGGCCTCGTCGGCGGTGCGGCAGGCCGGCCCCCGCGCGCGGCTGGTGCTCCTGCTGGCGGTGACCAACGCCGACAAGGCGCTCGGCCCGGCGCCGCTCGAGGTGCGCCTCGGCATGATGGAGGCGCTGGCGCGGGAGCTGGCGGCGCCGCCGGTGCAGGTGGACGTGGCGGTGACGACGAGGCCGTACTTCCACGACAAGGCGGCGGCGATGGAGGGCGCGGGGGGGTACGGGCGCGCGGAGCAGGTGTTTCTGTGCGGGTTCGACACGGTGGTGCGCATCTTTGAGCCGCGGTACTATCGGGGCAGTGGGGGGATGGGGAGCGCGCTGGGGCCGTTTTTCCGGCGGGCGAGGCTGCGCGTGACGATGAGGCCGGACGATGCGTGGGGGACGGCGGGGGAGCAGGCGGCGTATGTGGCTGGTCTGGAGGGGACGCTGGGCAGGAGCGGTGGTGATGCGGCGTGGGTGAGGAGGATTGAGTTGGTGACGGGGTGAGGGGGCGTGAGCAGCTCGAGGGTGAGGGAGCTGGTGAGGACTGGGGAGAGGGGGCCGGCGGGGGGGGGCGTCCGAGGTTGCGAGGTGGATTGACGAGGAGGGCTTGTATAGGGAGTAGTTGGTGTGGTGGTGGTGGTGACGGAAGTTGGGTTTGTATTACGTCCGGAGGCTGGGTATCTGGTCGGCTGGGCGGGTTATTTGTTTTGTATCCGGGCATAGAGATGGGTTTGCTTGGCTTTCACTGTTGGTCTGCGGCTCACGATACACGAGGAGGCAATGGCACGATTTCCATGTCCTTGACGAATGTGTTTTTGTGTTTTGTAAAAGCAGCTCGACGACAGAAGCACAACTCCGCTCTGCTATGCTTCGCTTGGCTTTTACAGGAATTTCCCAAAGTCCTTTCCACGGGTCAAGTATGCTTTCTGCAATCCATTCTTATACTTCGTGTGAATATCTTTGTGATATTCTTTGTCACACTCGGCTTTGCCGGTGCCCTTGCACTTTTCGCACTCAGAATTGTCCCCGCGACACTCGCAATCGTAATCAATAGGCCCAACGAGAGTATTTCCGCAAACTTTGCATCTGCACTTCTGCACGTGCCGCCACATTCTCTTTTCCTCATGTGCAAGTCTATTGCAATTCGAACATAGTCGCCCGCACCTCCCGTTCTCCATACGCTGGGGCAGCTTTAACTAGAGGGTAATGAGCGTGTAAGGGTCAAAGGATCATGATGGCCCGGACAAATGATGCAGTATAGGGAATGTGTTTTTGTGTTTTGTAAAAGCAGCTCGACGACAGAAGCACAACTCCGCTCTGCTATGCTTCGCTTGGCTTTTACAGGAATTTCCCAAAGTCCTTTCCACGGGTCAAGTATGCTTTCTGCAATCCATTCTTATACTTCGTGTGAATATCTTTGTGATATTCTTTGTCACACTCGGCTTTGCCGGTGCCCTTGCACTTTTCGCACTCAGAATTGTCCCCGCGACACTCGCAATCGTAATCAATAGGCCCAACGAGAGTATTTCCGCAAACTTTGCATCTGCACTTCTGCACGTGCCGCCACATTCTCTTTTCCTCATGTGCAAGTCTATTGCAATTCGAACATAGTCGCCCGCACCTCCCGTTCTCCATACGCTGGGTGGGAAATACGGTGCATGCATGGACACCTCTCGTCTTTACCCCTCTTGGGGGCTTCCAACAGTACGAGCAATAAATTCCCCTAGCATTTTACTTTGTATTAGTGAATGCTTTACTTTGTACTAGGGTGAATAAGATGCATACTCTGATGGTTCGTTCCCAGAAGACGGAGGCTGTAAATTTTCGTTCTCGCAATTCGGACATATTTGCTCGTCCTCGTCTGACTCTACGTCGTCATCTTCATCTTCTATGATGCGTAGTTGGCGAATCTGCTCCGGTGTCAGGTTCTCCGCACAGAATTGGCAAAACACGTCCCTAGTACGTTACTTTTTATTAGTGGGCGCTTTGCTATGTAGTAAGATGAATGAGATACATACTCTGATGAGTCGCCCTCCGCATTCAGAAGTATTTCCTCGTCGTGGTTTAGCAAGTTGCATATGTGAGAAACCTGCCTCCCCGGCTGTGTCAGGTCCCCCTGACAGTGTCCGCAAGTCAGACGCCTAGCACGTTATTTTTTATTAGTAGGCGCTTCGCTATGTAGTAAGGTGAATGAGATACATACTCTGATGAGTCGCCCTCCGCATTCAGAAGTATTTCCTCGTCGTGGTTTAGCAAGTTGCATATGTGAGAAACCTGCCTCCCCGGCTGTGTCAGGTCCCCCTGACAGTGTCTGCAAGTCAGACGTCTGGCACGTTATTTTTATTAGTAGGCGCTTTGCTTGGTAGTGAGGCGAATAACATGCATACCTTTCTTCCTCCATTCTGTAAATGCGGATAAGAATCTCATGCAGTGGTGTTGTGTTTGTCGATTTTGGAAGTTGAAAGGTTGCAACTCGCGCGGTTGGGAATTTAAAAAAGAACCCCGGGATTTGGGGGAATGAGAGCTCTTCATATACCGCAGGATGTCGTTGAACAAGTCATGTACTCGATATAACAGATGATGTTGTGTTCGGCTGCTGTTATATCCAGCACAGGTAGTGCATTGCGCACGTCTAACCCACATCATAAGACCCTGTTCTGTTTCTACTCTGTTCAGCAAATGTGACAAACTACTTGGCTCATGTATTTGTTCAGAGCTATGAGGGCCTGTGCTTTCACTGCTCATCCAACACGGACAATATCCGACAAAGACACTGAGCACATGCATTGCATGGTGTGAACCATGAGGGTTTGTGGTTTCGCTTCTTCATCTGACAGATGCACTGCAACTACGCGTGCATTTTGTCTGTAGCAAAGGGGCTTGTTCTGCCACTGTTCTGTCCAATACAGTACTACACTATGTATGCATTGTGGGAGCTGCAGGTGGCAAGGGCTCGCAACAAAGGGCGTTGGGCGAACAAAGGTTACACAACAACAAAGGCAAAGGTCACGAGTCCAGCGTTACAGCTCTGGACAGTTCATCTTCGCATATGGTGGGAGGCATAGTCACAATGCCCCCTGCTGATGATGGAGGTGGCCTTGGAGCACTCATTGCCAAATACGAGCTGGTATTGAGCGGCAAGGCTCCTCAGACTCTGTGTCAGCTCCGACAGATAAAGGTAGTCAATAGCTCGGTGCTATGCAGCTGGCTACGGGTTGGCTAACCAAGTTCTCTAGGAGACGATGGTGCGATTCTACACGGTTTCCACGGCCACGACGGCCGAAGCGTTGATGAACCGAAACAAACGGATGCGCCGCAGAGGAAGCGCTCGTCGCGCAGGACTCGACGTGGCAGGCGTTTGGTAGTGGGTTTATTTGGCTCTGATACTTGGCAAGAATCTGTCGCCACTATGCGTTTTTGCTTCTCTCGAGTTGCCGCTCCCAAGCTGGAATCGCCCATTTGACCATGTACTCTGATCTCATCAGCTGTTGGGCCGTGGGCCGTTCCAAAGGCTCATACGCCAGCATACTCCTCAGCAGCTTTTCCAAGGCCTGCATTTCCCCTCCTTCAACATCCCATTCACAAGTCTCGGGCGTCATGCCACGTCCCATGTCCCACATGCGTTGATGCAACGGTCGGGAAACAGGGGTGTAGATTCGTTCGAGGTTATGAATCCAGGAGCCATCTGGGTTAAAAAACTCGTGTCGATTCTCCCATTTATCCCACCAACGCGCAGGTGGCCGTCCCAATGTGCTGATGATGTCTGCGATAATATCGTCTCGATCGCCATTAAATGTTTCAAAGAGAGGCCTTTCACCCAAAACTTCGTACAAGCTCACGCCAAGTGTCCATACATCCGCCGCCAATGTGATGGGTTCTTGAAAAAAGTCTTCCGGGGGCAGGAAGAGTGGTGGCGTATGCAGCTCGGGGGAGCGCTCAGTAGCCAGAATAAAAGATGTTCCGTAGTCGGATATAGCCATTATAGGGTCTTTTAGTTTGTCGGCGGCCATTTTCATGTGCATGGGATAGACGGCATATGGTGGCGCGTGAGGTTCGACAGCAGCGCCATCAACTCGGCTAATAGCGGCTTGATCCAAACGGTAACTCTTGTATAGCAGGCCAGGGCTGAGTTGGCCGACATGTGGATCGCGAAATAGAACATTTCTTAGATGCAAGTCTGGATTTGGCGAGCTATGGTAAGGGGAGCACAGTGAAGAGTTTAGGTGCTAAACCTACCTCCATGGCATATGCCTCGTGAGTACAAATACGCCACACCCATGATCAACTGCGCTGCAATGGACCTCGCGGTCTCGGTCGGAAACATGAAATTTATCGAGTCTTGTTTGGATGCAGCGACGCTGCAGCCGGCCGCTTCTTGTACAAGGCAGGTATGTCGCCCGTTTGGGCCTTCTATGGAGAATGCATCTAGTAAATGAGGGATGGAACGCTGCCCTGGGTGCAATGTGTCGACGCTCTGAAGTTGGCCAAGGATATTTGCTTCGGTATTTTTTAACGATTCGCCTGCAACCAAGACCTTCAGTGAGACATAGCGATCCAATGTGTTGTCTCGGGCCAGCCAAATTGTAGAATAGCCACCAAAGCCAAGCTTGTGGGCAATCTTGTATCGGCCTTTTTGGAAAGTGTCTCCAATAACGATGGGATGGTAGCCACCGATGGTGTAGCTCTCAAAATCTTCCAGGTCCACCTCAGGGACATAAACAGCCTCGGGCTGTCGAGATGTATTGTCGGTCGTGGCATATGAGCATTGAAGATCCGGTCGTCGCTGAAACGGTATTCGTAGATGGCTAGTTGCCCGTCTGGGGCGTGTAACAGCGTGGCTCCAAAGGAGCCTCATGGTTGATGTGGTCGCGAAGGTGGTTGAGTTCAACGAAATGAGAAATTTCACGTGATGCTGTCAAAACCGCACGGGCCATGTACCCCGCAACGCATCATCCCGAACTCGTGGCACCTCCAAAAATAGATGTCGGGTCCCCTCGGAACAGAAGCACATTTGCGGCGAATCGGCACTTTACGCCTATTTATGGGGACCAACAGACTCTATATGCACAAGACGTCGGTGGGTTTTGCAAACCTGAGGCCTAACCGTATAGCAAACATCGTGTAGATGTTAAAAGGAAAAACACGCCAGTTGACATCTACCAAATTAAACCTTGCAATTGTGTGAGGCCTCCACTTTTGGCAGAATATTTACATTTTACAGTAGGTCAAGGCAAAAAACAATGCAGGTAATAAAAAAAGTTTGTATATTTTTATAGAACACTAGACACATGTCTTCTATCACTTGCACCAAATAACACGGCAAAGCCAACAGATTTGTAAAAGGAACGCTCATCCGTCGCACTTTACATATTGTCCCAGGGCTCGAGGTATATGATATTCTTAACAGGTATGTACGCCCTTTGGTAAAAATGGCGAAAGACTCGACGGTGGACTTTCGATTTGCAGGGAAGGAATCCCCAGCCAGAATAATTATTACACCGTCT